TATAGATTTATGGAAATGGATTAATTTAAGCTATAAGAACAGTCAGCAAGAAGCCTGCCACGGCCATACAGTTTGTATGCAATATAAGTCTCTGTGTTTACTTGGTTGGGTCTGAGTGGCTGTGGGACTGGCGGGTGACAAAGATTTGTCCTGACTGTGGGCAAGGCAGGAAAACTCTAGCTACAGCCTTGAGCTTGCTCCATTGCTCAGTTGTCCTTGAACTTGTGGTCTTCCAACCTCAGCCACCTGAGTAGCTAGGATTACAGGTTTGTATCCAGCCAGAGGGGGAGGTGGAGAGGGAGAGGTGTGGTGTGTGGTGTGTGTGATATGTGTGTGTGTGGTGTTGTGTGTGTGGTGTGTAGTGTCTGTGATGTCTGTGGTGTATGTGTGGTGTGGTGTGTGTGTAGTGTGTGTGTAATGTGTGTGGTGTGTGTGTGGTGTGAGATGTGTGTGTGGTGAGGTATGTGTGTAGTATGTAGTGTGTGTAAAGTGTGTGTAGTATGTAGTATGTGTGATGTGTGTGTGGTGTGTGATGTGTGTGTGTATGGTATGTGGTGTGTACTGTGTGTGATGTGTGTGTGTAGTGTGGGGGTGGTATGCACTGAACAGCTATAAAGGAATATGAAAATAAAAAATAGGCTATCACCCCCTACTCACATGAGAAAATGTCGAAAACTAACTGGAGAGACATGATATAAAGCAGATGGTAAAATAAAGGGACACAGAGAAGACACCAAGTGAGAAACAGTTACAGTGCGGCTCACCGGGAAGCAGGAGCCACATGCCCAGCTAGAAGAGAAGGCAAGACCCGTCGCTCATAAATATACCCACCACTGAAGTTACTGGGCATTAGAGGGTTCCAAACACAAACAGCACAGCAATGAAGATGTGTTCCAAACCTTCAGGGATGTTTACTTTACTAGATGGAATCTGGGGCACACCTGGAGAGGCACCGTGACAAGATAGAAACACTCCCCAGAGCACCTGGAAGTCACAGGCAAGGTCCTGCAGCAACTAGCAGTCAGTTCCGCCCAATGGGACAAGGGGCTGAAAACAAGTCTAAGAGAAGCCATTGAGCTGAGCCCTGGGAGAGAAGACAGCAGCAGAAGTGACATGATGGACGGGGTGGGGGTGGGGCTACAAAGAGAAACAGCAAAGGAGGGGACAGACGGAATGAGAGAGACAGATGGCTGGAGCACATGAAGGACCTGCATCAGGAAGTTTCGTGAGCTCAGCAGGGAGTCTGACTTCACTGGGAGGAGAGAGCTGAACCGGGCCTAACTGTTATAATAAATGTCACTGGAGGCAACAGGGGGAATGTTAGAGGGAAGGCAAATGGAAGCTGAGAAACATGGTCACAGCAAAGTGAAGGATGAGGAGCTGTGATGAAGGCCTGAGAAGCGGGGACTGAAGTGCTAGGGGAAAGAGATAGTCGAAGGGCAGAATCACCCAGGTTTGTCATCAAGGGGTGACCAGCAAGGAGACAGGATGGTCAGCCATGGTCAAAAGTGACTTTTACTCAGACAACCAGAAGGCATGGTGCCAGTCTCGGGGAGAAGAGGAGCCCTTCCATGAGGCTGGAAGAGAAGCTGGGGGCGGGGGGCGAGTTCCAGGATCCAGATAGTAAAGGCTCCAGAAGAACAAAAACCTTCCAGTGATCAACGCCACAGAAACATGAGGCAAATCAAGACTAAAGGTTAGATCTAGGGAGCTATGTGCTGGCACTTAAAAGCGGAGCCTGCAGCTCTCCTGGAGCTAGCTGGCATGGTCAGCATCCACATGAGGATGAAGGGTGATGCCCTGGGACGACCCTCTATGGTGCAGGGAAATCTAGAAAGTGCGGTTGCTAGAGATGCCAGTTCAAGGCCAGCGCATACCTGCGCCACACTGGTACCTTTTTGGCTACCGTCAGCCTTTGTTCCTAAAGCCCTGCTACCAGAGAGGTCTTTCACACAACAAAGCTCCTGATGCTAAATGTCCGTGACGACAAGGTAAAGAGAATTACCCCAGTTCTGAATCTGACAGGGCTTCTGCCTGCTGTTTACGGGGCAATGGGTTAGCTAGAGCTATGCATTGTCTCCATGGCTTAGGAAAGCATAGGAAGATCAGGTTACTGAGCAGCGAGCCAGGAAGCTCAGAAGTGCTCTCTGGGAAGTTTCCAGAGCTCAGGCTCATACAGCACACTGTTAGGTGCAGAGGACCCAAGGGAAACCTGGCAGGGGTCTCCAAGGGACAGGAGTGCTGGCTGGACAGGGTCAGCTCCTGGGTGTGCGTGTGAGCACAGCGCCCTCTGCCATGTGGAGCAATGAGCACAGCACCCATTTCCATTTGGAGCGGCACCTGCCGCAGAATGAGCGCCAAAGGAAGTTCTGTTTGGAGTAAGTAGGAAGCCCTATCATTATTCCAACAGCAAATCGATACATTTATGAGGGAAACGTGATTTGTGAGGTGTTGTGTTTTGTTTGAGCCAGCAAGGAGAAGCTAAAAGAATACTCTCCCTTGGTTTCTTTAACAGGTGGATGAGAAACCGGAAAGACTGTACGAGTCAGAGGTCAGGGAGGACCAGAGCAAAAGCAGGACCACAGCATCACGAACTCACAGCCACTGTGGCTGCCGTCACTATCAAGCTGTGAAGGCTCCCTCATGGAGTGGGAGGGGCTTGTGAGCCCTCAACCCTGGCTGGGGATCCACAGATGTGTTCTGGCTGCTGGGGCAGGAAGAGTCCGTTTTCGATAGGGAGGTGGCTCCTGGTAGTTAACCAGGCTCCAGAAGATGACTACACATGGGTACATGGGCAGCAGAAACTGGCACCCAAAGCTTATGGGGATGGTAGGGGAGAAGACACAAAGCTGGGGGGCAGCCGGGAGGTGGATATGTGAAGAGGTAGAGAGGAGTGGAGAGGGGAACATAACAAAATACATTGTGGGAAATTCTCAAAATCAAAAATATTCTTCAAAAGCTAGAAATGACACCCGAACACCACCAGTGATAGACAAGTACCTGTGTTTGCGTGTTTCCTCCTTCCAGCAAGGCGATGCCAAGCAAAATGCCTTCGGAAAAAATCCTGTCGTTTTTGGTGTTCACTATGACATCAATGACAAGTTCGGATGCTCCTTCTTTGTCCAGCAGACACTGGATATCGGACATTGAAATCCCCATCTTATCTGAGTCTTGTCCAGAGAAGCCTCCTGTGGTCAGGGGAAAAAATAAAACAAACCCCCAGCAAAATCGCCTTCATCATGGACATCCTTTTGTAGCAGCAAATAGTGTTTTCAAGTACTTAAACCATAACGACATGTGCCACAGGGAAGTTTAGTTACAAATATAAAAAACATATAAAGATGGAAATCTTAAAGAAATGTCTGACATGTAAGTCAATGTCATTAACTGTTTTTCTTAAAGTACTCTGGAAAGAGCCGGAGAGATGGCTCAGCGGCTAAGGGCACTGGCTGCTCTTGCAGAGGACCTGGGTTTGATTCCAGCAGCCACACGGTGGCTCACAGTCACTGTAACTCCAGTTCCGACACTTGACAAGCACACATGTATACAGACACACATTCAAGTACTCACACGTATGTGTAAGATAAAAATAAATAAATCTTTAGAAAAGTACTCTACAAATGTTATCCTTAATGTGTGCACAAAGAAACTATAACAAACTATCCAGAGTCAAAAGGCAAAATCCACCATAATTCTCAAAACTGTGGAATCACGAACCCCAAACTACACAAAGGCTCTCACTGGTGTCCTAAGTGACTGTGTTGCACTGGTGTCACTTAAGTAAGGCAGGAGACAGAGCTGCCGTGAAGATGTGCCATGACCCCAAAACAGATGATGAGCACCTACCTCCCGCTTGTGCAGTCTTGGCATAGGCCCCGGACAGAGGTCCGTTCGCACCAACACCATGGTCACCTTTGAAGTACCGGTTCAGAAGGATTCTCCGGAGTATGCTACCCTGGAAGAGGAGAGCCGTCACCATTTTTAAAAATAGAAGTAAGGAATGTCAACATGCTAAATGCAAATATATCTGAAGTAAAAACGTGAGAAAAATAATTTTATGCCAAATCAGTATTTTTGAGGAAATTGCAAAGGTTCCCAGTAACAGTAATAAATTTGTTTTTTATAACAGTGAAATGAGTGGTCATGAGGCTCCTGCAAGCACTGTGGAGATGTCTCCTCATCCCTGAACCCATCAAATGCACACACTAAACACATACTGACCGGAGAGCTGTGGGGCTGGCTCAGTGGGTAAAGGAGCTTGCCACCAAGGCTGGAGACCTAAGTTCAATCCCTGGGATGTACTTGGTAGAAGGAGAAACCTGATTCTTGCAAGTTGTCTTCTGACTTCCACATACATGCTGTCACATGCACATGCACACACACATGCACGATACAATAAATAAATAATGTAAACCAGTTACATATGTATGTATGTATGCATGCATGCATGTATTATGCACATACACTTTTATATGTAGAGGCCCAGGAGATGGCTTAATGGGTGAGCACACTTGAAGAGAAGCCTGGCAACCTAAGCTTGATCCCTGGGATGCACCTAGTAGAAGGAGAGAATTGACTCCTACACACATGTGGTGTGCCATGCACATGACCCCACACTCACACTCACACATGCACACATTAAGTCAATGTAATAAATCATAAATTTGCTCAAGGGAAAAGCTGGGGTCCTAGTGTTGAGCAGAACACTGGCAGTGCCTAGAGAAGACAGCAAACACTCTGAAGCCTGGAGAGTGAGGCCTGTGGGGGCTGAGCACAGAGACCTGGGGAAGAGCTGGTATACAGCTGGTGCTCCAACAACCCACAGAGACCTGGAAAAGAGCTGGTATACAGCTGGTGCTCCAACAACCCACAGAGACCTGGGAAAGAGCTGGTATACA